AAAAAATTGGTTACAGCTGGTCCATATGGATCAACTTCAGTATCCAATAGTCAATGCTTATATTTAATTTGAGTCATATTACGTAAAAGATATAATATCTATCAATTTAATTCCGTAAGTGAATCGGTCCCCATTCAATATCTAGAGCTACGTAAAAGGCTGTTGAGGATTCATTTTAAAGCTTAAGGTCCAAGGACGGTGGGATAAAATTATATCAGAATATCAGAAGTGTCAAAACCCTGCTCTACACCACAGGCCGTCAGAGATCCGATCATTTTCTAATGGTAGTACTGCTACAGTTTTTCTATAAGCTATTTTAAACATACCAGCTGATGAAAACATTGCGTATTTGTATGTTCATTGTTTTTAGTGTTCTGTTTTAGGTAAAAACGAGAGCTCACCCCGTGGTCAAAAACTTGACCAAAAGTATGTATTGTGCAAACTTCTCTATTTTAACCCCACGCTGTAAATAAAACATGTGATTGGAATTTCTTCCATTTGGTTTGGTTTTCTGTTTATATTTTGTTGTTATTTCGTCATCACCATGGCGGGTCGCCGGAATTCTACCCCCGGATATTAACCCCCATGAAAAAACGTCTACGTCATTTTGACGTTACGAGGGGCGGGGCCTATACACGGTCGAGAAACAGCCCGCGACTGGAAATCTACCCCCGGACATCTACCCCCGGACATCTACCCCCAGACATCTACCCCCAGACATCTACCCCCAGACATCTACCCCCGGACATCTACCCCCGGACATCTACCCCCGGACATCTACCCCCGGACATCTACCCCCCGAAAATCTACCCCCGTGGCCAATCTACGCGGAAATCTACGCTACGTATCGGCCAAGATGCATTGTTGTAATTGGTTTTATCAATTTGTTAATGTAAATTAGCGGCTCTTCGGTTATTCATTAGCTTCTACTATCCAGTATAAAGCATGCGATATGTCGTTGTCATGTTTAACATTATCTATCTTCCTAATTCAATAAGCTGTAACAGTCCTTTTTCACCCGACCTACTTCGTCGATTTTTACGATTGAGGTGTCATTTTAAAGCTTAAGACCCGTCGTAGCACATTCTTATATTCAGAGATTGTATAACGCTTAATATATATATATATATTTTAAGGTTGGTGACCTCTTTTAACCTTGCATTTTCCCGTCCACATAGACTACAGATCTGTGCGTGGAACGTATCCAGCAAATCAAGAGGTGAGCCGGTACAGTACGAAGGTGAACTGTACTGATAAGTTTTTGTGGCAGTGACCAGGATCCGAACCCACGACATTACTGCCTTGGGCCCGAAGTCCGTGACGCTACCAACTGAGCCACCGACTCACCTTTAATAAGTCCTTACTTAATTGGGAAATTCTGCCTTAATACAAAACTTGTCAACTTATGTCCATAAATAGACCTAAGTGTTCAAAATATCCAATTATAAGAATAACATACAGGAAGTGAATATGCAGGTTTCCTGCCAATAAAATGTTGAATGAAGCTTGTTAAGGTAGTATACAGAATATCTTATCTAGATAAAGTAACATGCCGAGTTTAATTAAGATGTGTCAAGAAATAACTTTATTTATGACATTTTATTGATTACCAATAGGACGAATAAAATTGGTACACCGTAAAGTGTTTACCTCTCAATACCTCAGTAACGAACGATCATAGAGCAATAAATCAAACTACTTATTTTTTTCGAGCTAAATTGGAAGCTGCAATGACAAAAAATATAAAAAAATAACTATATTACAAATATTTAAAGACCTATATAAAAATATAAAACACACCCCCTCTTCTAATAGTCCGATATGGCTGGTTTTGGTTTCTGGTTTGGTAGATTTTCCCATTGACCTCCTTGAAAGAAACAGATAGTCTTGAGAGGAAACGTCACTCTTTATCATTTCGCTAACTATTTGAAGGGTTGAAACTATTTGAACACCTGCGCTGCCTATCGGGAAAGGTTACAGTGTACTTGGCGGTAAGAAAATTGTAATTTGGTCTTCCACCATATCGCGTACAAGTTTTAATTATGTTCCATACTGATCATTTTCTCTTTATCATTAGGTAGAACCCCCAGCTGTCATTCTGAAGGATTATTTGAACGTTTGAGAATATTCTCTGAAGAAATGTGATTAAAATTAAGTCCTTTTAGTAATGAGTGGAGCGAAGCGAAGCTCTTTGGGAACGACTTCAATGCAAACTTTCGAACACATTAACACAATAACGGCGGAACATATTTTAGCCAATTTTACTTTTGTCAAATGTTTGGAAGGTTTAGACGAAACAAACTTAAATTTATAATACTGCCTATATAATTAAACCCTAAGTTTTTTTTTTTTTTTTTAACATTGGACTTATGAGTTGCCCTGGTGCTTACATAATAACGACGTAAATGTAAACAAACCAGAGAATCAAAGCACATGTTAAAATCAAGCCACGACCTAAACACAGTACAAAGAGAAAAAATTCGCATAATAAGCTAATGAATAACCGAAGAGCCGTTGATTTACATAAACCAATTAATCAAATCAATTACAACAATGCATCTTGGCCGATACGTAGCGTAGCTGACCACGGGGGTAGATTTCCGGGGGTAGATGTCCGGGGGTAGATTTCCGGGGGTAGATGTCCGGGGGTAGATGTCCGGGGGTAGATGTCCGGGGGTAGATGTCTGGGGTAGATGTCCGGGGGTAGATGTCCGGGGGTAGATTTCCAGTCGCGGGCTGTTTCTCGATCGTGTATAGGCCCCGCCCCTCGTGACGTCAAAATGACGTAGGCATTTTTTCATGGGGGTAAATATCCGGGGGTAGAAATCCGCTACCCCACCATGGCAACCCGTAAGACCCATGTTAATTTTTTTAAATTTAAAATTCACTTTTCTTACTTATTTGTGTGCTTAATTCAATTTATAAAGGGATTCTGCACATCTACAGGTAAACATCTTTCATTTTGGTACCAGCCGCGTGCAATTCGGTCCAGTAGTATGGTCAGGCTAGCTGTCATAAGTTTGGCAAAAGTTTTTTTATATAAGATGTTAATGCGGTGTTTAAATGTATCCTGTTGGGCGAAGACCGCAACTAAATGTGTAAAAAAGTGTGCATTTATTTTAAATTTGTACACATAACTATAAAGCAGTAATTGCTGCTATGGACCCCTAGTTGTCTATATTTTATTGACAATGTGTTAAAAAGACTAGCGGCAAACTACGCGATACCCATACCAAAATACAATGGCGATTATAAAATTATTAGTGGGGGGAATATTTTATACTGTTCAAGGTATTTTATACCTACCTTGTTTGGTGTGTATATTAATAAAAAACACTCCTGAATGATGTAAAATGCTCTAAGATCATCGATAATTTTAGTACAATCTAGACAAATCTGGAATATTCTTTCTAGAGCATTCCAGATTAACTACTATCGCGTACTTCCATAGTTAATTCATTAAGCTATAAGACCTCCTAGAATATTCCAGATCGTTTTAGATAACCATTCAAATATTGAATAAAATATAATATTTTCATGTACACGCATATTGCGGGCCTACGCTACCTTGTCCAAAACCTTTTATTTTCAGTAACCAAACCATGCGATATAGGATGTTTATATAGGAAGAGGTAATTCGCAGGGAGTTGGTATACACAGGTACACTCACCCTATAAGGAATTTGACTAACGTCTTCCCTGTAAAAATGTCTTGCGTAACGATGTCTATTTGGGAGAAGAATTCCGAAAACTCGACCCGGTCGAGACTAAGTATGCAGTTTGAAAAATCTTGATATTGCTGTAAGATGTTGACTTGAGTGAGATTATTAGGATATAATAGTATTAATTTTATATTTTAATCATTGATATAGTTACTTGTACTCTGAACCGTATTGAACGCTCATAGTCTTAGCACTAAGACTTGAAGAATTTCATAGCAACTCTCAGTGAATATTGGCAGTAAAATTGAATATTTTAAAAGTAAACATTTGTAGCTAGAGATAAACTACTCTCTAAAGGTGCGTTACAATTGCAAGGATGGTTTAGTAATGTGTACCTATACGAAATGCTGACAGGCAAACTAATATACACACGATTTATTTTATATTTTATTTTACGATTTATTTCTATTTATTTTATTTTATGGTGATAAGATTATAAGTGGTACAAAACTGTTTACTTTTTGAATGCAAACCAAATAGCAGTTATATAAATAAATTCCGAAATGCTATCCTCATTGAATACGAAACAATTAATTGACAACCATAATAAAAAATTATTATGTTAACTTTTTGCCAATTTTAGAAACCGTTTGATATCGAAACTTATAGAATATTTGGACGGAATTGAATATAAATAGAAGACCAAACTTGGCTAGCTATATTAAGCCAAATCAATTAAATTGCTAAAATTAGCTAATAGGTTAAATCATATTAGTGGGTATATAAGAAAATACTAAGTCTATTACTCAACTTATTTTTCCCGTAGAGGACGGGGAGAATTCCCATGCCTCCCTCAACGACTCGCGGGTCAGATCACATGTTTCAAGCGACCCTATTATCTACCTACCAGACCCCCGGGTCATTTTGAATGATCCAAAACTACCCTCTAACCGCGGATCAATTCGAGCACACGCTTTTTTAGTAAATATTCCTTCAAATACCAAAATTTAGTCCACAAAGTTATAAGAGACGTCCTCTCTATAATTACACTAAAACCAGATACATTCTTGGTTTTGAATAATTATTGTTAGACAGCGTCAAGCGTCACAATATTTTAATCTATGATGTTAAGATGATGAAATATGAGGACACTTGTGCAGCTAAGTACAGATGTGTCGATGTCTTCCCTCCTTTTCTGGCAGCGATCCATAGAGTAAAAAACTTGTGAAGGGGATATTGTGGAGGGGGGTTAGGTTATCAAGATTACTAGATTAGTTAGTTGTCATCTGTCCTGCAGTGTTGTGTGATCAGTGCCTTCTAGATTTTGGATATAATCTCGAACTAGTGAGTATCAAAGTTATGTCATCGATATATAGTAAATAATGTATATAAAATTGATGGTCAATTAATTAATATTTTTTATTTAGTTGTAATAAGATATCATTTAGATTAATAAAAATAAGGGAAACATATTTTAAATTGATATTGATATGATATATTGATAAAATTATATTTCTAAATATTAATAAGGCTATTTCAAAGTACTATATTCGATTAATATGAATTGTTACTTTTATTAAAATCACCATCCCCACAACTACCTACATCATAAAACATAACATAAAATACAATACAAAACAAAATAAATATTTAGACATGACAATACGAACGCTAACACAATTTCAGTAGTTTGACATTTCATTTGAAGGTGCTTATTTTCCTACTTTAAAAACAAATGTAGATAAAAGCAAATAAAATCTAGTACATAAGTAAGATTATTTGGTCTTTAGATCGTAGCTAAGGATTTATTATTTTTTATTCTATATACCTAATCTCACAGTCTAGACATGCCGTAATAAAATTTCTAATTACTGGGAACCTCAAAATAATTGCAAGAGTTTATCAGGGTAAGATAAACTAATGCCGTAAGATAATTAATTAATAATTATTATGTAAGATAATTAATTTCCTCAAAATACACTTTTAATAACACTTAACAATACCTTATGAGGTTAATAAATAATTTTGGTGGTTAAGGGGAATACACATATTTTATTCACATCCCGAGGAGTGGTTTGAATAAGAGTTTAAATCAATGAGCCGATACTTTTCCGGACATAAACAGCTAAATCTTTATTCAATACAGATTATTCATAACATTTGGTTTAAACATCCAGTTTGTCAAGAGGTCAAAACAATTGTTCAACTAAATATTTGACATTTCAAATTCAAACAAAACGCCACATGGTCATATGGTGCAACGATCAGCTGACTAAATGACATGTGTTCAATAATGATGTAGAATAACAGAAACTATGGCGTCTTTGAGGTAAAGCTCTACCATTGATTGAAAATAGCAATTAAAACCCCTCAACATTGCATTCTTTTGGGGTAAAAACTATTATAGGCCTAATATTGTTTTAATAAGTGAAGGAGTGTTTTTGCCTAAAGGTTTCAAATCCACCACTAAACAGATTTTCATGATTTTTTTAAGGAAAGATCGTTTTGAGAAAAAGGGAATCTCAAAGCTATGATTTTTATTCAGTATTTATATTTAGGTGCTGTTGACCAACTTGCTATTTAATTTGCAGTTTTTTAAATTTGAACTTAACAGCTGATTAGGTGAAACCCGACGAAATCAACGGTTACTGTCAAGGTTTCAAGCAAAATAATTTAATAGATAAATAACTCAATTTTTGGTACACTTTGGGTTGAGCATTATTCAGCATGCTTTAGGTACGTCTCTGATCTTAATCAATAACTCAAATGAAAGCTGGTATTTCACTGAAGGTTCTTAGATAAAAACATAATAGGAAAACGGAGTTCAATATTTTAGAAGTTTAATTTTAATTTTACAAAGTCTAGCACCTGCTAACATTTTTAATTAATACTTTTTCGTGATTAATTATTGTTATGTAGGTTTTTAGCCTATGATTTTGGAATATCTTGGTTACTAATAGAAACGCTGCATTTAGCTTAGGTAGCCATATGAAATACAGCAGTTGAAATGTACATTTATAACAAGCTGCAATGACTAATTTATTGTGTACATGATCACGACACTATCGCGACTATCTCCGGCTATCACACAGACATCACGATCATCTCTTACTGTTTATTGTGTACGTGATCGCGGCACTATCGCGAATATCTCCGGCGATCGCGCAGACATCACAATCATCTCTTACTGTTTATTGTGTACGTGATCGCGGCACTATCGCGAATATCTCCGTCTATCACACAGACATCACGATCATCTCTTACTGTTTATTGTGTACGTGATCGCGGCACTATCGCGAATATCTCCGTCTATCACACAGACATCACGATCATCTCTTACTGTATATTGTGTACGTGATCGCGGCACTATCGCGAATATCTCCGGCGATCGCGCAGACATCACAATCGTCTCTTGCGTTCGCGGCAAAGTTTTAAAACCATTTCCTTGCCTCGTTAAAACCGTGAACATTTTCCACAATCACGGAGACCTTAATATTATAATCTCTCCCAATCACGAATTTTCGATTGCCCAATAATCTTCGTATACGCTTTTTGTGGCTGCTATCACTTGATTTAGATTGGATTGTATTTAAAAATAGTTAAACACTGTGTATCCCCTGAGTATGATTGGTCCCACTACTTCCTCATTTACTTTATTCCTGATGGTTAATATTAAAAAGCGAACCTAGCCCTGTATGTGTTGGACAAAATTGGTCGGATGAGTTTAAACTGCCTTGTTCACAACATAGCATACAGTTGGTTATATAAATGCAATGAAATATATACTACATCTAAGGTTTATGTTTATCTAACCAAATGGTTAGGTGCAGGAAAGACAGTTTTAACTACATATTTTAGAGAAGTGTTTGTCAAGAAGTTTTATTATCAAAAATATAGGTGATGTGCTCTGATTCTGATCTGAAAACGTCCACACACATTTAGAAGAGTCCAAAATTGTTCTTTCTTTTTATTCCTTTGTACGTTTAATACATGAAAACATTGCTTGGTCTTTAGAATTTGAAGGAGTGGAACTGAAATTTACAATGATCCATCTTCTTCGTCATCCATCATTCCTCTAATTCAATGCCACAGACAACATCCAGCAAAATAATTGACATTTGTTTTGAAATAGGCTTAACACTTTATAAAAAAATACTGTAGAAAAATAGTCCAAAACACCACGCCAATCTCCCTTAAATTCTGACCTCAGTATAAGAAACTGTTCACTCCATACTGTCTTAATTGTATTCACTGTAATTAATAGCACACTGGCTAAAGTTTGAAAGAAGGATTGGACATTCGTAGGGTCGCCATTTCAAAGTAAAGTATTAAAAGTATTAATAGGCCTACCGTATTTGTCATAGTTATTAAAATTAGATAGTAATTCACACATTTTAGTAAACTCACTAATATTTTTGTTTCAGAATTATTAGATGAAATACAGACTTTAGACATGTTGATGTGCGAAAGACAAGCGTACAGCTATGTTCACCATCGAGACTACCTGGCGTACGACGGAGAAGTAGATTGCTCGATGACTCTGAGCTCTGACTCGGACAGTTGCCACACTCCGTCGTCCAGTGACAGCGACCACTGGGCATACCTCTCTGGCGTAGAGGTCGAGGACGATGTCTTCACAGAGAGAGAGGTCGTCTTATCTTACGACGGATGTCAACTTTCCGACACCGTCACTTACGATCCTCCAGACCAAGACTTGTACTACACTCCGAGCGAAAAACCATTTAAAAAAGAACTCCAGTACGACGAAACCTCTATTGTAGACGATGACGTGAAAAACATAAACATAAACGAAATAAACTGTACCGACTCTTTCCTGAAGTGGCTGGACAGTGAGCAAGATCTTAGTCTTTCTTACGAATCGAACGAATCGACCGAAAACGAAAATTCAATAGATTTCCAAGAATACTCGCAAGAAATGTTTTCCCCAGATTACGTGAACAACAACTTTGAGAGCCAAGAGACAAGTTTGCCCCCCATTCAGACAATGCTTCCTGCGGGATCAAAAATCATCCACTCGTTCCCATCGGAGAAGTGCTATCGAGCGAGAGACTCGTTCAATTTACTCATTCGAGGATCTGCTACGAGCCTGCATTTGGACAATGTGGTGAGTAGATGTTAAGTGTAAAGAGTCAAAATTTAGTATTAAAGAAAGTAGTTTTATATGTTTTTAAATTCAATTTTCCTTGTTATAAAGCTATAACTGCAGGACAAAGTTGTGGAATTCTTATTATAAATTATAACATAGATGAAATTATTTGCATACACTCTTGTGGATAAGTAAGAACTTGTGCTCTCTAATCACAACACTAACATCATAAGAAATAGTTGTAAAACATATAAAGATGCCAAAACGTTAAAAAAATCTCAACACATACCAATTGATGAGAACAAACTTCTAATATTTCATAATACGTTTTCAGATGGACGGAAGCACAGAAAACAGAGGGGGATATGGTCACCTAATGTGTAAAGACGAACAAGATGAAAACAGCTACCCTTCTTACTACACAAACTTTACGGAGAACCAGGTACAGTATAATAAATATCAGCATTTTGATAAAGTGCCTCATAATTTGTGGATAGATTCTAGGGGAAGTGTTGACTAGGATTTTATGTTATTGTTGTTGATTATGTTATTGTATTGATTTAAGTTTAAGGTTTACATCAGTACGTTATAGCTTAGTATGATATTAAAGAACTAAACGCTCCATCCCATGTTAAAGTTATCGCCAGTATTTAATCAAAATGGACCACAACAGATTGTGCTTATATAAATTACTATATAAATATGCAGACTTTTTAACTAAAGTAAATCTGATAGGACAAATTATTGTCAGCTGAAGCTTCTTTAAACTCAACTCCAAATATCTCAGAAACTAAGGTAGAAAAATGGTGTTAGTCCCTAGCACAGCGTTTGACTGGCTCATTCAGCTGTTCTTTCTGAATAAAAGGTTGGCAACAGCAGGTCCATATTTACTATCAGTATACAAAAATCAATGATTATAGACTTTTTTGTTTGTTTATATCAATATCGAACTAATAATTATCAAACAATATTCGTATAACTATGAGTTAAATGTTTAAAAAAATTCAAATGGCCTTCCCTACCCCTTCCCTACGGATACATAATCCTAATCATATTATAGAATCGGGTGAATAAAACAAAATTGAAGCTAAACTTATTGCCATCTAATTTTCAACATAATCAATCAGTTACCAGTAGAAAATGAGTAACATTTTTGTAATCAAATATTACCTTTTTTAGGTTGTGATGGAACAGTCGAAGGGAGAATTATTAGACAAACTGAGACAAAGAGAGGCAATGAACTCTCAGACGAATCCTCAGCCACAGACTGACAAATGTAAGTATAACAAGTACATTGGTACTCGGTGTCTAAGTTTAGAATTTGACCTTCGACATGACATTTGAACTCTCCGATCTTCTTATTTAGCAGATTGTCTATCACTCCTTACCTCTTAGTGGCAGAAAAATCTCAAATAATAAAAATATATATCCAATTATTGCAACAATTTATGTTATCGTATTTATTGTAAATGTTATCATAAGCACACATGCTATACACAATAATGTTTTTTCTCTAGGAGGGCCATAATAAAGTATATCACTGTTATACTAAATTTGAAGTACTGTAGTTCGCAACAAACTATTAAATATTTTTGTGACTTTGTATGAGAATGCAGATTAAAGCAAGCATTTTACTTAGTTATAGATTGTTCATTATATGAATTGTAAAACGGTTGTAAAAGTTTATGTTATATAGTAATTAATTTAATATTCTAAATTGCAGTGTTCTTTAATTTTTTTTTGCTACATGACTGTGAAATCATTTTTTTTTTTTTGTTGTAAGTTTATCACCTGCAAAAATTCATCATTACATGGTTTACCACGCAAAATAGTATATTACGTTATTAGTCTGGAAAATTGGTGTTTATCAGATGAGTATGGGATTACCAAACGAGTACAATAAACTCATGTTGAACGAGTGATGTACAATATTCTTCGCCATACTACTCTAAGCTAACCTTACAATTAAAAAACTGTTCAAATCCGATATATATTCCCACTGAAAGGACTTAACAATCACTACACATAACTAAAAGAGGTCATGTTTTCGTTTATTGATTCATTGACTTATTACCAATTATAATCAACTGGGGTCCAGTAAAAACTCATAACAGTACAGAAGTACGTAATGAAACCCAATTTGACTAAGCAGGCGGCAAACTTACAAAAAAACTTTAAAAAACACAAACGGTTTTAAATGCACAAAACACACACTGGTTCAAAATTTACAAGGCATAAAAATATGTAATAACTGATGTTATTGTGTTGGCAGGCTTGCTGGAGTGCCGCTGGGAAGACTGCTGGTCAGTGTTTGTAGGCCAAGCAGCGCTTGTTCGTCACATAGAGAAGACGCACGTAGAGTTGCGCCGCTCGGACGAGTTTGCGTGTTTGTGGCAAGACTGCCCTCGGAGAACCCGACCCTTCAACGCTCGCTACAAGCTTCTCATCCACATGCGCGTCCACTCGGGCGAGAAACCTAACAAGTGTCCTGTGAGTACTGAAATAGAATAATAGCAATGTCTTTTGATACTGAAGTAGATAACCTATCTATATGGACCAGCTGTAGCTAATTATTAATTGAAAGGGAATACCGTTGTCAAATGATTCTCTAAGATTGTGATAATGTCTAAATTCAATTTTTTTTAGTTTTCCATACTATTGACATAAAATATGCTCTATTCAATTTTGTCCTTCAGGTTTGTTTGAGCTAAAATTTGCGTATTCAACAGAGATCAGTAATTAATATCAGCACACACTGTGTCGGCACACTCCAATCTTGTCGAATTGTACACTAAAACTGACCTACATTTAACTAACTTGACATTTGACATCTACTTTTATCAGTAGTCAAGGGTAGGTAGTATTTAATATTTTAATAAATTGCATTATTTTTCATAGACTCTAGTTTCAACGACATAGAAGTAAGGCACAGAGGAAACACACATATGGGACTGCCGTGCGCTTTCAGCCCTGGTATGTTTTGACGGAAATATACTTGTGACGAGTAAGGAAGAACCTGAACGACAAGCACTGTGCGAAAATTCCTATGACCCAAGTTCTTCCTCCACCCTAAGCGTTGTAGTACACGAGGGCGAGGAGGGTGGTGTTGAGCTTTGTCCTAGACACAGATGTTTCCTCTGTACCTCCTCTATGTCAGAACATACATCAACACCGATATCCCAGGTGTGCTGAAAAGCCTCTTCCACCCTTGAGTCTTTAGGCAACAGGCAAGGATCATCTTCTTCCAATTGGTGTAGATATCTTTTGTCATCTTACAACCTTGGTTTGCTTATTTGACGTTGCCGCTATACAGTTCCCAGGTTGCCAGAAGGCGTTTTCTCGGCTGGAGAACCTCAAGATACATCAGCGTTCACACACGGGAGAGCGACCGTACTGCTGTCAGTTCCCAGCCTGCGCCAAGGCTTTCAGCAACAGCTCCGACCGAGCCAAGCATCAACGCACTCACTACGACACGGTAAATATGAACCCTTATTGCTCTAAATTGAAATACGGATATTAAAATATATGTGTTTCTTCTTTTGTAAATTCCACACTTATACTGTAAACCCTTACAAGACACTTGAAACCTCAATACCATAGAATTAAGATTAAGGACATTTCCATTGCAGCATACAGTTTATTCCAAATCAAAATATATGAAACAATGAATATAAATTGATTCTTGATTCTTCTTGTTTCTTCAAGTCTTCGCACCTTGCGAGATATCAAAAGTCTGTCTTAGATTGAATCTATTTGCTTAAACCTCATAAACAGTGGTGTAGTCGAAAGTTTACCAGCACAGGGACACTCACCATAATCTCAGGAAAAACATATTGTGTTGCCTTAATTAATATAGAGGAATTTTGGGAAAAGCTGAGTGGGAACGCCGCTCCCACCCCACTAAACCACTGCTCAGAAAGACTTCATGCATAGAAAACTATTTTTAAAACTTGGTCTTTGGGAAGTTGAATTCGTTGTTAAACTAGTGAAAATAAAGTAGTTTTGGATTACCTTAGGGGCAAACTATGAAAGAAATGTTATCGAGCAGGTCATCTCCCAAAGAGAAGGATTCAATTTTGAGGAAATCTAAAACTTCTAGTTTAAAATAACTTGCTGCAATAAAGAGCCCAAACAACTACCAATTCTAAATTATTGACCACTTGAACTCGGCAAAGCCCCACTAGCTATATATTAAAAGGATTTTATCTCAATTTGTATGCCAAAGACAAATCACAATCACTATCGCGAATATCTCCGGCGATCGCGCAGACATCACAATCGTCTCTTGCGTTCGCTTCTTCGTTCGTTCGTGAGAGAGTTCGTTTCTTGCGTTCTTGCGTTCCTTATAGTGGTGGTGGTTGTATTTTTGGTTTACAAGCAATAAAATACTACAAAGCTTTACAAAATAAAAAACTTAAAGTGCCGATTGCCAAATTTATGATGAATTGTTTCAGAAACCTTACGCTTGCCAAGTCGCCGGGTGCAGAAAGCGATACACGGACCCAAGCTCTCTCAGAAAACACATCAAGAACCACACAGGGACAACCATCTGTAAAACTAAGAAATTGGTAAGAAAATAATTAATTATAGAATGTGTTAAATTAAGATTTGTAGATCGTATCATTTTTATGAATCAGTCACATTTATAGTAATAAACTCCAAAGAATTGTAAGCCAAACACACAGTTTGATTAAACATTGGGCGAATTTAAAATCAAAGCTTGACGTAAAATTATTGAATTATATTTTTTACAGTTTAAAAGATATTTAGTTACATACATATCTAATATTATACTAGTTATGTTTTAAGATTTGCGTAAATGCTTGGGAAATCTCTGATATTCCATCTTAGGACCAGACATTGAATTTACTTTTAGCTACAAAATGCTTTTTCCGTATTCAACTGATATTCTTAAAATAGTGTGGTGAAAATTTTATTTTAATTTTAACAATTAAGTTTGGCAACACAACTTAACTACGATAGTTTTTATATCGTAAAAATTTTGTTTCAGATTGCAAGTGAGCCTTTGGTGACAATATCAAACATAGAACAGCGCCAGAGGGAAAGGCTTAACTCATATGGTATGTTAAAAAAATATTTCTATTGAGTATTTCATTTTTGATACCGTAGTATAATTTAAGGCCTGGTTCCTAGCTACTGAATACGTCTGCGTCTTTGTGAATATTGTGTGCCCTTCGTATTCATGGTATAGCACCTGACAAATTCGGCAGTTAGGAAAACAGCTGTACCTAAAGCTTGAGTGAAGATTATTTGGTGTCGAAAAACGCAGTATTTGGCAGCTAAAGAAATCCGCCTTTAGAGATCAAGAGTACAAGTAGTAAATATTGCCAGGATTCCTGTTACTAAACTACACTACTAATTAAATTTGAAATTTTTTTCAAATTTTCTTTTCTTTGCTTACTGAACTTTATATGTAAGTTTTATGCGGAAACGGAAACATAATTATAATGTTACAATCCATGGTTAACACCCTGTATAGTATAGCCTATATGTTGAAAACTACTATAGATGATTTTTTTAAATGTTACAATGAGGTAAATTTAAACCCATCAGAAGTAGAACATAATTTATAGCCTCTAATCTAATCTAATTAATAGAATATATAATTTTCTGTTTGTGTGTCTCTTTATTCGAAAAACTACTGAACAGCCTGAGCTGAAATTCTACTCAAGTGTGGAATCATGGCAAACAAAGGCTCATTCGTGACCTTTTAAAATCCTGGATTGCAATGATTTGATAATACATGGATTGCAGCGGTGGGGGTGATGGTATGGGGTTTTTGGGGAAGTTAGTGATGACATGATGGGTAATAACGAATGGGTTTTTAAAATAGCTATGTCTGACCCTAACCTAAGGGTGCTGAATCTGCTACCAATAACCTTGCTAAAATCGAAGAGGGTCAGACATAGCTGTTCTCAAACCCATTCGTTATTACCCATCATGTCATCACAAAATTTCCCATTTTTCCCCAATTTCCCTCCCCAAAAACACCATACCATAACCCCCACCACTATAGGATTATAGAAGAATAGTAATGCTAGAACAATAAAAGAGTGTAGCAGTTTTTAGTTTTGTAACTAATTTTTAGTGTTTATTTTTACAAATCCATTTACAATTATTGATTTTTTTCAGCTTCCGAGAGCACAAGTGACTACCAAGAAGAAGAATGTGAGTTTGAATTATATTTTAAAGAATGATTACTATCCAAAAAAAGTAATTAACACAGCAAAAATATTTGTAGGGATTAATGTGCCTCAGTTGTGACGATTTCAACTTAAATGGTGTATATGGGTGTACAATGTATTGACATTATACAATTATAATAACACAATAATAAAAAACACAGTATGGGTTGGTGGTTGGGTAATCCAATTTATCATTTTTTTAGAGCTAACAAATTCTTGGGTTGTCGCAAGCCTAGCGGTAGCGTCTCAGAAATTGATTTGAGGCTGATGAGTTCGATCCCAGCACATCCATAAAAATTTGCAAATGAAGATATAGGTTTTGTATAGTTGGATCTAAAATTGTAGTCTCATTTAATTGAGATAAGTAATTACCCTAATAAAAACTAGTGATTTCATAAAATGACAAATTAGGATTCTTTAAGTTTTCAATGTTTTGACAATTCAATTTGTTGTAGTACAATAGGCCTATTATTGACAAGTCCCAATTGAATTTTTTCAGATAATCAGAATGACCAGTTTGTAGAGGAAATATCGGACACCGAGGTTGTAGACTACACAAACTACGAGACGACCGAGCCACTTTTTGAGAACGAGTCGGCTGGTGAGTTGGTTTTGACAGATATAAACCTAGTCTTAGAATTCAATAACCTATAATGAATGTGGTAACCAAAGTGGTTAGTGTATTGGGCTTCTATGCAAGAGGGGAAAGTTCAATCTCCTGCATTCAAAAACTTTTGTCAGGTTGGGAACGCTTTCCCAAAAGCGTTTGAGATTCATCAACTGGCAAAGACACAAATAAATTATATACAAAATGAAAAGTTCTTCCACTAAATTTTTTATAGATTCTACATCATTTCATCAATTTACAGAACTATAACAAACTATTTCCATGTGGTATTGTAAATTGTAAAATTTGTAAATAAGTATTTTTTTTTTATAATTAATAATAATAATCTATTCCAATCACAACAAAAATCTGCAAGCACCATTTTGTAAAAAAAAAAAAAAAAAAAAACAAACAACACAACAACAGTTAGATTTTCAAACAAAGGGTAAAACTATAGACTGGTTATTTATTTTTTGCATGTTGACAAACCTATTTCCTCTATTCTGTCACATAATTTTGTGAAAAAATTACACAATTACATTTAAGACAAAGAAGAAAAACTATAGTAGTTTGGTTAATTTTTTCGCAGGTTTGTCAGGCTTGGATTTCAACAACGACATTGAAAAACACCTTTTTGACGACACTACCTTCAATAACTCGGACTTTTTGACATTCGACGATGAAGAAATGCTTAGTCTCTTAAGCAAGTAGAAAATGGTTTTGTGCCTTACCATTGATCTCTGATAAATTGGTGATGTTATTTTGTAGATTTTAAAAATATTTATATATTTTTTTAATTGGTATTTTTGTACAAAACGAGTTAAATTTGTAATGTGTGTTTATAAAGAAATGAGATAAAATCTCAATCTCATGATGCTTTCAGATCTCAGCTCGGGGCCAATATTTTAAATGTTTATTAAACATGATGTTTGTCCTTGAGTTTTTGTACAGGACTTGTGATTTTTATTTTGAGAAAATATTATTTTTGTGTGTTTTATGGTAGCTCTTTTTTTGTTTTTTTTTTACATCCCTATTCTAGGTAGTTAGTTTTAATTGAGTACAAATCATGCTATATTCCAGTACCACAGTGCATTTAACAGTTTAAGTTAGAAAAAAAACCAAAGATATCTGATGTTTGTGTGATAGTTGTGCAATTTTTGAAGTCTCATATTGGTTCAATTTTGAATGATTTGGACATTAAAAAATACATTCTTAGAAGAAGTAATCTTGAATGGTTAAGAACAAAGAAGAATGTATGTAGCACAATGATTAGAATATTAGTAAATAAAAAACACAACTCACCGAGATAATCAGTTTACTAAAAAAATAGCACACAAACTTAGTGCTCATAGTTTAAAGTGGTTATTTATTGTAACAATATATACATATCACAGTATATAATATCAGCCAGTTTGTAAATATCTAGGTTTTTTTTAATGCTACCTTATTGCAGAAAATGCTCCAAAATTGCAATTAGACTAAAAAAATTTGGGAATACAGTCAAACCTCGTTATAAACGAACCTCGGTAAAACAAATTCCTCGATAAGACAATTTTTTTTTTTTAAATCTCCTTGAAACTTGCATAAAAATCAATACTAAAACACTTCTATACAACATAGTAATTAGGTTATAAACCTCCATAAGACAAATTTGTTTGTGGCATGGGCTAGGACTGATTAGCCTGTGTACAACGAATATTCTTAGCACAAAACCTCTACAAGACGAATTTGACCTCAATAAGACAAATTTCTCACGATCTTAACCTCTATAGTACTGTACGTAGTTTTCAAAACAAACAGAAGCTTGTCTCAACATAAAACCCCCACCCATCCCTCTTCCTTCCTCATTGTTTGGCAAGAGGAGAAACCTCTTTAAGACAAATAACGACAGTATTAATACAAAATAATCCAAATCCTTGATAATACAAATTTTTCCAATACCTCTTGAAATTCGTCTTAGAGAGGTTCGACTGTAATACAAAACGGCTTAATTGATTTCATTAAGTTCAGCCTTTTTCTTTTTGCTGTTTGTGGGATTTTATTTCAAAAAGCATGATTGCCACCAGCTGTTTTGTAATGGCTGGTTTTGTACCAGCCTTTTTGTAAAAAAAATCACAAATTATAATAATTCTGAATGAACAAAAACCCTAGAATGTTACAGCCCAAATCATCAAAAGTAATGATTTTCTACAAGTGTGCGTTTTATGAAAACCCCTTACTTTTTACAAAATGGCTGATTTAGTAATTTTACATTTGTACTGCGACATAATAACTTCTTCTCTATTTGAGTTGATAAATTTTTAAAGGTATATAGCTCATTAGTTATGTTAAGAGATTTGATATTTACAAGGTTAAGCGTGTGTTTTAGATTTATTTTACATATTAAGTGCACTAAGTCTTTCTTGAAAAATTCCAAAATGATATAAAGACAATTATTAAGCATAAGTTTAGGATAATTGAACTGTTTTGGATATTGTTTGCTTGGCTTGTTTTATTTAGTAGGATAGAATAAAAGGTTTATTTTAGGAAATGAATAATGATAATACGCCACAAACGCATTTTATAGTGCTAAGAAAAAGAACAGATCAAACCTTAGTGTAATTAATTTTGTGCTTTTGTTATAAAACATTATTAATTAAAGCCTTATGTGCCAAATAGTGATTAGGTGATTCATAAGTTTCAAAGAGCAAATAACTTAAAAGTTTAGAATTAGTGAACTTGTGATTAAAAATTGTATTTATGTTTAAGAGTTGTTAAATTATGTGTGGAGCTTGTCAACTAAATGCAGAATTTCCATATGCATATAATTTAACCCATTTTATTTATTTACCAAAAATCCCAGTATCACTGAAACACTAAAAATTAAAAAAATAGGCATCTGACTATTTTTTTTTATGATTTATAGTATTTTATAGCTGAAAATAATAATAAAATTTATATTTTTATATTATTTTGAATTTTTTTATGTATAATGTATATATATTTAGGATTAGGATATGTTTACACTGTTTTATATATTTCTCAAAAAAATAGATACCTGCCTGAAAAAATATTAAGACTATTTTTTTATTTTCTTTTATAGTATTTTATAACTGAAAATAATATAAAACATATAATGTATACAAAATTTAATATTTTATATGAATATGTATATGTATTTAGGACACGTTTTCACTATTTTTAATACTTTTCATAAAATTAGTTAAATATCTGCCTGTATTACGTAAATATGTAATCATTCAAGGAACATAATATTTTGATATATAAATTTAAATATTATAACTATACTAGCTGACCCGGCGAACTTCGTATTGCCTAAGTTATAGGTTTCCCCTAAGACAGGCCCGATGGAAAGAAAGTACCGTTACGTTTAATTTTCAAGATGATCTCGTTCGCATCGCTCAATCACGTCCTGGTTGAAGTTCGTTCGCTACGCTCACTCACCTTTAGGTTGGAGCTCGTTCGCTGCGCTCACTTGCCTTCAGGTTAGCTCGTTCGCTACGCTCACTCGCCTCCAGGTTGAAGTTCGTTCGCTACGCTCACTCACCTTTTGGTTGCAAATTAGCTGTTGTCATAAATGTAAAAGAAATAATAGTGCTGCACCCTGTTGGTAATCCTTGTAACTTTAATGCTATTGAACATCATAGAACAGAACCAACTTGTTTAATTGAAACAGCTGTTAAGATTCATTAATTCCATTTCTCATAAGGTTAACATGGGAAACTCCAGAGCCACTGGGGCGGAGTCCTTTTAAGAATTTCGAAACGGGAAATAGTTTACGTCCGATTCGCATACCTACAGAATTTACACACCAAATTTCATAACGATCGGTGAAGTCGTTCCGGAGGAGTTTGCAGACAAACACTGTGACACGAGAATTTTATATATTAGATACTGTAAGTATAAATGGTTCATTTTTTGAAAAAACAAAATTTTCAAATTTCATGGATGATGTACCAGTACGTCAGCCGTGATACTGTATATCACTGACTTGACGTACTGGTACGTCATCCGATGCAAATGGGTTAAAGGCCTTTTCCAAAATATGTAATTGTAAAACATACAAGACCCAGTGAATGTTAAAGCAAGAGATATGGTGTATTGAGATAGGCTTTGGATTATTCATGTAGTCTAGAACTGCAAAACACATTCAAATTAAAACTAAACTAAACTCATTAGTATTATGACAGATTGCTAGAGTTTTATAGTGATTTTTGGAGATTAGTACTGTACTAAGTTACTTAAGTTAAGTGTACAAAATTCACCAATGTAGTACAACATTTAAAGATTTACATTTAAGCTTTTTGTATAATATGTGTATAATTTATTAAACTTTTTCAAGTTTTTCTTAAGAAAAAAATAGATATTCATGTGTTATTTATTTTCCGTTGTAGCTTTTTTACCAAGATCAGCTGTTTTTTTTCTTCTAGCCAGGATTATTTATTTAGCCAATGATCAGGAACAGCTGGGTCCAGTTTTGAACCATCAAAAAACTTCTGACTTTTATAAGGATCGAACCGGCGATATTTTCATTGTAAGGCGAGCACAACTTAAAAGGGTAATGAGAACAGTAACCGTTAGTGTCAATATCAACTTTTCTTCCCTCGCTTCTAGTGTTAAATGTATTTCTTCTCATAGGAACTGCCTTAATGGGAAATTAGATCTTTTTTGAAAAGGGATAGAACTCAGCTAGCTTAGAAGAAAATTAGAGTTTAGGGGTTCAATTCCAATTATAGACACACTAAGAGTTCACAAACCACAACACTGATACTTCTTCCCAATATATTACTTCTTCAAAGAGTATGTTGAAGATAATTTTGTTGTGTATTTGCACCTACAATACGACTAACACTACAAGGCAACCATTGAAAAATGTTGGGAATAGGAAAACCTGAAATCAGGACAGTTATAGGTCTGCAACAGAACAGTAAACTGTACAAAACTAAAACATTCAGGATTAAAAGAGCATAAAGCGTTACAATATAAAAATGAGGTTGTATTTTTTAAAGTTTCACTCTAATGGTTTTACATGTTACCATTAAATTTAAAACAACACAAACAATACAATAAATATACAAGCATCATTAAGTACAACGGACGGATTTACAAATAACTTAATAATAGAAACCAAATTTTAATCAAAGTAATTTCTAAAAAATTTAGTACTATGATAATGAAAGACTATACAATTTCAATTTAGAAAACACCAAACAATGGACTCTTTGGAATTGATGATTATAAATAAATTACTTTGTTGTTGCAATAGCAAATCACACAAAGCCAGGAAAGTTTTGAACTTTTGAGAAGACTGCAAGCCGTACACCTAACAACTGCATACTTGATTGAAAGGTCTTGATTTGAAACTTGCCCAAAATATCAGTTTTTCGATAAACCTAAGGGCAGGAACCTCAATTAAAGGGCTGTATTTATTTAATCACATTAAAAATAGTCAGATATATCAGCTGTTAGATTTGTTTTGTTTTGGTTTGATTGTTTACTTTTGTTTACCTTGAGTTAACCTTTTGATTCTACAATAGATTTCAATGTTGCATCAAGAGAATTGACAGAAAGTTTTTCTTATAATGTGCGATAGTGTTCAAACCTTTAAATTCTGTTTCAATTGTTTACTCTGTTTACTACAGTGCAATTGATGTTGCAAAGAAACGTTGTGTATATTACTAAGAGACACAAGAACCATAGAGTTTGGACGGAGCGTTGTGTGTTCCAACTGGGGAAAAACACATTTGTAGAGTATTTTCGTTGTGACATTGGCAATGATAAAATTAATTTATATCAAGAAAAAGCACTTAATCAACCAGCAGTTTGCATTGGACAAGGTGGTGAAGAATCATCATATCTTCTTTGTGTTCTCCCCGTGACAAGGCACGGGCAGAACAACTAGTTGATATTATTAATAGAACTAAAGCTATAGTGATGGTATGAGTGTCAATAAAATTTTTAAACATCTATCTAGCATAATAATTTAATCTATCCCTTCAAACAAGGCTAATAATTATAATCACTTGATTCATACTTGTTTCTTGATTAATAAATAAATATGCACATCTCAATCATGAAATATAAACTGTAAAAATACTGTATGTATAAATTCTACTTTCACTAACATGAAACTTAATCTAAGGGTTTTGATGCTAATATTTTCAGTCAGTTCAGACCGTAAAGTGAGTACTTTTAAGTTTTTAACACTCTAACAAAGTGTTTTTTTTTCCTTGAGCCTATGAAATTCAAAATCAAATCAAATCAAATCGTTTATTTCCAAAATATAAACAATACAATAAACAGATATAAATTAAAAAGAAATATATTTTTCCGCATAGGCGTAAGCCCGTGTGCGGAAAAAGAGTTCTAAATCTGCTACCTATCTGGTATATTGTGGATAAACAGTAATTTTTATTGTCTAATTAAACATTTACTACATTTCTTAAAAATAATTATATATTACATAAAAACATAATTTAAAAGTTAATATGTACAAAATTAGGACACAATAACACAAAATAAATTTAGAGTAGAATTTCCTAATGTAACCAAAGATTAAAATAAGCAACTAGAAGCTACAATAGCTACAATGAAAGGGTCTCAGCAGATTACTAAGATGTTTACGTTTTTTTTTTCTTTCTAATGAGCCTAATTATATGGGGATTTTACCAGCGCCTCCGTAGCCGTCCGGCCAATGCTGGCAAGCCAAGTACTCACCTTTCTTTTGTACACCGGGACACTGCTCTCTTCATACTGCAGAATTTGTGGCGGAAGATTGCGATATAAGATATGGGCGATAAAAAATGGGTTACTTTTTAACGAGGTTATATTTAATCTATGAAATTGGTAACCAAAGTTGATTCTATGTCTTGTGGGATAGTTATGCTGCAAATTGGTAAAAATTATGTTTTTGTTTGACCTAATAAAGACTAAAAGAGTTTTTACAAATAACTGTCGTATATCATGAACACGAAAATCTGAGTACAGATCCTCTGTTGGATATCTCGATGGTTTGCTAAGTATGGTTTTGATTAATTTCCTCTGCGCAACAGCCAGAGGCTCGAGCATAGAGGCCGAGACACCGCCCCACGCCAATATACCATATTGAAGCAAAGACTGAACGTAAGCATAGTAAACTGTCCTACAGTAATCCGTGGTCAGCACTCCGGCAAGTTGAGAAAATGCATATATGAGCTTTCTAAGTCGTTGTTTGAGATAATGAATGTGGTGAGCCCAACTAAACTTTTGATCAATTATAATGCCTAGGTACGTGTACTTCTCTACCCGCTCTATAACGTCACAAGTACAAGCCGCTGACCGAAAGTCGCCGCATGCAGGGCCGGAACAAGGGGGGGGCAGAGGGGGCGGTTGCCCCGGGCGGCAGGGTTGAGGGGCGGCAAATTTCTGGTTGCAGAAAATTTGTTTAATACAGTTTGTAAAAGTTTTTAATGAGCCGAACGTCACAAGGAACGTCAATTAAGTAATTTCAAAACTGCATAACGTAATAAACAAACAATAATTTTACAATAGAAATCAATATAAATTGCAACGGAGTAGAAAACACTGAGAGCCCTAATAGCATAGTTAGCAGCACAGCAAAGTTTGTTTAGAATTTCAGCTGATCGCCATCCCAGTCAAGGCGCCATGCCGCCCTGCCTCACTGCCGTGGTTCGTTATATAGAGGTTAGGTTTGCAGGAATTTCGCTAAGTCGAGGTTCAGAACCAGCGTCGATCAATATAGGTCGGGACTTGACCTCATTAAAATACAGTACAATTAAAGTAGCATGGGCTACAATACTTTACAGTACAGTGTTTACATTGTACAGCAGAACCTAAATTATCCGGCATAATAAAGGGGAGGGATCTTGAATATTGCGCAATCATGACAATAGCATTGACCTTGGTACAGGTTAAAAACTATAAGTTTAAAATCACAGCTTGTTCTAACCCTCCTAAAACCTAGCCAAACACTGTATTGCATAGTCATAAATTATGTAAAGAACAAAACAAAACAGTAGAAAGTTTTGTAAGCTACTGCTCGCGATAGGCCGGTAGGCTACTTACAGTACAGTACTGATTTATCACAACAGAGGAATGTCAATAATAATCATTAACTATAGCATTGGTGTTGCTAATGCTAGTTGAAACAAATCGTATTGAAAACAATAAATTATTAGATAAGTCATTATAAAAGTGTATAATCATAGCCAACTTAAGGATAGTAAAAATACTCGTAAAAGGAATGTTAAAATAGCGATGTTGTTATTCTTTCTCTTTGGTTTTGTTTTTATATTCTTTCTTAGGTTTTTCTTTATCAAAAAAATTGTACAATTCACCATAGTTATCCCATATCGCCCAATCACAGCTTACTAAACATTACGTCGTCATCAGTCCTCAGTGAATGAAATCAGTTCTCAGTTGCAACATAGCGCGCGCAGAGACAGCAGACAAAGATGTAAAACGGAGCAGACGAATGTTAGCGCAAGCGATGACGTGACCTTTCCATTTCATTTGATAAAGAAACAGATTTTCCCAAAACAATAATTGGGTGGGGGATTTGTTATATCGAGGGAAAGACGTAGACAATTCGTTATGCAGAGGTTAAATTCGCAATGTAGAGGTTCTGACAATGATAAATTTGTTATATTGAGGTGTCTTATTTTAGCCGAAATCACGAAAAATTTGTTAAATCAAGGTCGTTGTTATAGTTTGTTCGTTATGTAGAGGTAAAATATACATTGTGTCTTATGGAGAGTTCTAGGGCATTAAAAAAAATTCGTTATATCAAGGAATTCGTTATATCTACCTATTCCACTTTACCTATTCCATTTTGGTTTAATTTGTGAGGGATTTTTTGTTGTGGGTGAAGGGGGGGGGAGGGGCGGCAAATTTTAGTTTGCCCCCACTCAAAAATTGTCTAGATCCGGCCCTGGCCGCATGTATGAAGAAATAGTTGCCTCGGGCTGGGGTCACTTTCATTCTTAAAAAATATTGGTAAACTTTTTGTTTTACTTATGTTAAGGGTTAACGTGTTTTGGTCTAACCAACGTTTAACTTTATAAATGTCTGTAGATGCTTGTTCATATGCCTCGTCCCACGTGCATCCAGACGATACTATGGCCGTGTCGTCAGCAAACAAAAAAAACTTTCCCTTTAGTTCTGACTTTTGAAAGGTTATTAATATATATCAAGAATAGGATGGGCCCGAGTGTACTACCTTGGACCACTCCATAGTCAATGCTAGTTTTATCACTATCAACACCATTGATGGACACATATTGTAAACGATTTTCTAAATAGCTGATAAACCAGTTTAATGAATGACCACCGATGCCAACTAGTCTCAATTTAGAAATTAGATATTGTCTGTTAATGGAATCAAATGCTTTAGCCAAATCTAGGAATGTTACCAATACACGCTTCTTGTTATTTATTTCTTCAGAAATAAATTTGGTTATATCAAATAATGAGTGTGATGTACTGGTTGTACTAGTTTAATCAAGTAAACAAAATTCACCCAAGGAATCTAGCATTTAAATTTAATTACATTATTCCGGGCTATTTATTACCTCAATGACGCATTCATTGTCATTCCAATATCACAGAAGTTATATTAAGCTTAACCTAACTGAAAAACTATTTTCAAAATCCTTTAAATTAATCGAATCCCTTAAAAAAATAATAAAAATTTCCTAAAACCCCTGAATATTAACGCCTTTTACTACAGACAGACAGATTCAGCCCGATATGGCATAACTGAAACATTAACACTACAAATTTCTTCTATAGCTGAAATCATTGACTATTTATAGAAGCATAGAAGTAGATATCCTATTCCCATGTAGAATTGTTTTGGTTTGAAAATGGATATAGTTGAATTGAGCTATTGAAATCTTTAATCTTCAGTTTTTGGTACTCTGTTTAATGTGGCATCAAATATACTATACTTACAATAGATTGTCTTTACAATTTGGCTTTGTACAAAAATTAACATATTCAATTAACGTAATTTTTATCAACCTGCTCTTTAAGAGACTCAATCAACTATGATATGGATAAAAAAGGCTACAACTAGTCCAAATAAAATTGGACGTCTACTTCAAAATTTATAAGGCAACATTTACGTTCACAACCAGTTGTTTGACTCACAGTTAGTTACGACAGGTGTACATGCACCAGCGGGTTAGGGTTACGAGCCACGGGCGCAGGCGAGTCTGGGTGTTGGCTCTTGATGTGGTTGGCGCACTGGGTCGACTGTCGGAACGCTTTACCACAGACCTACAAACATCGAGGTATAGACGTAGTAAATATTGGTTTGGCAAAAAGATCCAGTACACTTTCAATTCAGGACAACTTAAAAGAGGATATTGGATATGATGACAACAGATTTCTTCAAAAGTCGAAATAGTAATTATGCAAGATATGTACAAAACCCTTAAAAACATTTTTTGTCCATAACTGTCTTTATCTACCCTTGACTTACCTCTAGGGGGCAAAATATTGTAAGCTTTCACTTCTTTGGGTTATCAATAAGTATGGTCCATCTGGACGGTTTCTCAGATAAACTAGCTTCTATTCCCCATTTTTCAAGAATCAAAATTCCTGCCTAGAACCTTTTGTTTTTGTTCAACAATAATAAATATTTCAGGTTGATTAGTAGAGTATTTACCTGACAGAGGTATGGGAGTTCTCCCGTGTGTACCCGATGGTGACGGACGACATCTCCTCGCTTGGCGAACCCTCGTCCACAAACATCACACACGTGAGGTCTTTCGGCAACAACATCAATAACAGTAACAATCATTTAATAATAACTGAATCTAGCAATCATAAGCATTGTCAGAATACGCTTGATGAATATGAGTATCTAATATCGATAGGATGATCAAAAAGATTCTTCATAACTTTGCACACGTCACATAGATAATTCAATAACAATTATGGTTGAATAGAATCTATAAAGACTACTAACTGTGCATTTTTGTGGATAGGAATAGCAACACAAAAGACAAATCACTTAACATATTGTAGAATGTATTTCAAACTAAGCAATACCTTTCTCCAGTGTGCGTTCGTCGATGGATCACCAGATGAGAGCTGCGCGAGAATCCTTCTCCACAAACCTACGCAATACACGCATACAAGGTCACTCGTCAACATGGTGATTTTGATTTGAAAACAATACACAATACATTAAAAGACAACAAACATAAACAATTTTGATACAGTCATAAAAAAACATGACAACATATTTTTTGTTGTTGATAAATTTGCATCTGAATTGTCGAATTTAATAATGCAGTGTCATGTTATCAATGAAAAATCAAGCGTACCGCCCTGATGATGTGCTCTATTTTTTTTTCATAAAACAAATTGCAATTAACTTATTCTTCGGCAAATTGTTCTGTCAGCAGCACAGGTATAAGCCTTTGTTTGTTATTCCTTTGCAGAGGTCAAAATTGTGGCATTCTAAGCCAATGCACAACAAATGAGTGAATGAAAACACCATTATGTTTTCAAGCAAAGTTTTACAGTATTTCATAACCTTTAACAGTTTTCAAGTAAGATTGTGTCTGATTTTGTTTCCCCTCATATGGTCTGATCCAAGTGCTTCTGATTGGACTAAAATAAAAACCTTTAACTGGAGGTAGCTAAATCAGCACCAATTCCATACTTACCATGCACTTTATCAAAATAATCCAACATTTATGTAATCACTACACATTTGTTGAAGACTCTGTATTCCTAAACATTTGGTCCACCAAAAGCCATTTAGTTAAGTTGGATGGTTAGGATGTTTGTAATGATTACCTCGCACACGTACGGCCGCTCGCCAGTATGTGTACGTTGGTGTTTGACAAAGTCCCCCTTGGAGTAGAAGCCCTGCGGACACTCTGCACACTGAAAGGGCCGAACCTCGCTGTGTGTCTTTGTGTGCTGCTTCAACGTGGACTTTTGACAAAACGCCTTACCACACTGTGAACAACACACATGTTATTTGTGTAACTGTGCATAGTAACACTTTGTTGCATAAGAAAGAAACACTTGTACACAAAACTTTGGGAAACTATACATCACATCACTAAATTTACTGTAAAACATGATGGGAATTATTTTGAAAAGGGATTAGCTAGCTTACGTGAGAAAATTTTTCAGGGAGAGATTGAAGAGAAATGTAAGTTAAAATTCAACATTTCTCTTCAATCTACTCTCTAAATAAGTTCTATATTATGACGAAATATCAATGAAAACACCATAATATTAAAAAAAACCCACAAACAATGCCAGATTTAAGGTTCAGCCTCAAAGAAGCCATCCATCCTATCAACTTGTACCCTTACTCAGGTCAACTGTTTACTTTATGTTGGCCGCTTTCACCAAAGTCTTCCAGAGACATCTAAAACCCTCGCATATTAGACCTGAGCAAGACAGGAATTGAACCCTCAATCTATGATGTCCAACCCGAGGCCAAGAGTATTAGTTCTAAGCTTAGCACACAGATAGCAATACATATCAGGACACCTTTACGCCTTCTTATTACAGTCGACTCTTCACTCTCGCTGAGGCTAGACGACTTCTCGTAAAAAGTTATCAATATGCTGCAGCACATAAAGCTGATGCATCTGATAGATCCTCCTCCATTTTGGGAACCTTCAAGGAGTGCTCGCACTCGTGGTATGGACTCGCTGCAGTGTGGACGGTCACCGTAAAGCGGGAGATAAGAACCTTGGCCAAGAGTGTAGAGGAACCTTTAGTTATGCTTGGATAGGTGAACAGGTAACTGCAAATTAGTCACTCATGATAAAAGATTACAAATTGAGATAGAGAAAGTGAAAACTATAATTAATACAGATAGTTACCTCCTGACAGAGGTAAGGTTTGACGCCGGTGTGAGTGTTGATGTGATCACGCAACAAACAGCTGAAGGCGAACCTACGACCACAAGTGTCACAGATGAAGTTCTTATCTTGACTCTTCAGTCTTCCCCTCAAGTCATCTGTGTGTAAACCTGAATAATAAATCCCTTATAATTTGTAAGAATCAGAAGAAATGTGAATAAAAGAGAGTAGTTTGTAAGTTCTGTTATCTAAAACTGAAACCTACCAAGAGAACTATGACGTCCCTACATCCCCCACCAGTCTTCTACTTCTAACAATGGTGCTCAGCATAACAAAAAGCTGTACAAAAATCAAAAATGTGCAGTTTCAGTACTTTGGAAACTTTTCTCAAAAGTAGTACAGGAGTTTCAAACAATTATTCAAAAGGGGTTTCAAGCAAGGGAGAGAGGTTTCAAAAACCAACTACACTTATTCCTCCTCAAATTGAGGTTATGTTGTAGGCCTTTTATATGAACACATTTTTTCATAGATTAAAATAACTTTTTGTAATTGACAAAAAAACTGTGATTCTAACTGTAACTCAATACTCGTTATTATTATCATTCGAGATGGGGAAGCCATCTACTGTATGTGCGTATTTTAACACAAATATGAGTGAAGGTTGAGTGTAGAATGGAGTGTGATGCCTTGTGTTGCTTTGTTACTGACTAAGACCAGCTGTTTCATTAGTCAGTACTTTATTAAAAGCCGAATGATAAACCACAGCTAGGTCCATGTTTTGAACCATCAAAAAGCTACACACTTTTCTCAGGATGGAACCAGCGACCTTTAAATTACCAGGCGAGCACTATAACCACTGAGCTACCCAGCTATTTTGATCTCTAATATGAATCTTATATAAATAAAATTAGAGTTTTGACTGTACATTGCTCAGAATCATAAACTTTTAGGTTATTTTTAAGTTTTATACATTAAAGAACCCGAAACAAGTCTCATCTAAATTTCTGTCCGTCTGTCTGTCTCTGTCTTCCTGTCCGTCACGGCCCAAGAGCCATTTTATACGGCCTTCTCCTGAAAAACGAAAGTACCTATCAAGTTCCAAATCATTTTAATGTATTCACTGGATTGGCGAGATTGTCTTTAGCCATTAAAATATGGCGTCACTACTTTGTAAATAAAATGACAGGCGTTTCAAAACCCAATTTTGTGCGATCTTTTGTAAAGTTTTCCCAATGTTTATCACATATTCATCTATGAAATAACGAACAACTGTTTGAATCAAGATTATTTCTTCTAGCTGTCACTGATATGTTTTGAATGTTGTTTACAAATACCGTAACCAATTCCGATCACGTTTTGAAAGCAAATGGAAACCAAGTAAGATTAAAAACGTTTTTTCATACATAACGGATTTCATTAATCGCAAGTGCAATAATTTGTAGGGTAACCGTAAACGAAAATAGAGATTCTTTGTGTATAAAATTGTTCTTGAGTTTTGATAACCGGGGAAAAGACCTTGAATCAGTGTTGTATATGGCTGGGAAACTTACATTTTTTAAATGAGCGTTTTCAGTCGAGACTCGGCTCACGACCGACGCGTGTCCACATGTTCATAGTAAAAATAAAAGTAGGCCTACCGTGTATTTATGTTTTATTCGTCATGTGTATAAGTGTACAGTTTGTGTATGTGTTTCAAAAACTCCAAGACGCACCTAATGGGGAAGCTCAAGACCTTATACTCGTATCAGGACTGATGATGGCGATTTAATTTCGCCGAAATGCATCTCCTGTAATAGGATACATTTAGGATCGACCGGCGGACACAGGTAATTTATCCTTTTATTGATTGTCATACCGATCCGTAACAACAATAAACAACAAAAAATGAAGTTATGTATAATAGTTTGGCCAACATATCTGAAAATATGCAAACCAACTGCTGTTCTTTATACTGTATATAAGAAGGTTTCAACTGAATACTATAAGATCCCTGTGTGTAGAACGGGTACACAGCTAGTATGGCAATAATATTACTTAAAATGGGGATGCAACTAGCGTGCATTTTGAAGAAAGAGTGTGAATTAAATGACATGCCTATTTATACTTATTAACTAAGATGAACTGTTTATTTAGCGAGTATAATTTACCATACCAATGATCAAGGACAGCTGGGTCCAGTTTTGAGTCATCAAAAAGCTACTGACTTTATTCATGTAATCTTTCAAAAGAATGCCAATTAGCCAGGGATAGTAAGGCATTTTTTGAAAGGGAAATGAGTTAAGCTAGCTTACATGGCAAAAAAAGAGATAAACCGTAAAATAACACAAAACACAACACTAATATTTCATCACTGATGTAGATTATCTCTTCAACCTACTTTTAGATAAAGTCCTAAATCAGGACGAAATATCAGTTTGGTGTTTTAAGTTCTTTTACTTTCTATATATTATAGCTCCTGGACTTAAATTTTCCAAGATAAGCTAGCTGAACTCAATTACTTTTCAAAAATGTCCTGTCTTTACTCAGGACAGGTTCAAACCATTTCTCATTCCTCGAGCACGATGGACAACCAGCTACCCACCAGAAATGATAACTATTGACTAAGCACGTACCATTACCATCTGTCACAGTGTTGCCGCAATCCGTGTGTGACCTGATGTGGGTCAGGTACAGGTGATAGTCCGTGATCCGTTTACTGCACACATCACAGCCAAAGCGTCCGTCCTCGCCTCTATGAACAGAGTTGCGATGTTGCACGGCCTCTCGGTGAAAGTCGAACTTGACGGGACACAACTCACAAGAGAACTGTACTTTCACTTTGTGTACCTTAAGTTTGTGAAGGCGAAGGTTACCTTTGGAATGCAGTTTTTTACTACAAATATCACACTGTTGGAGGTACTTTTTCCTTTTCTTTCGTGGTTGGATCTCCTGCAAACCAGGTAATCTGATTTCAATTATCAATTATCAATCATTAAGATGGGGACGCCACTTAGGTGCGTATTTTAACCCAAATATGAGTAAAGGATGAGTGTAGATGGTGTGAGATGATCTGTGTAGCTTTGTTACTGACTAAGATCAGCTGTTTCATTAGCCAGGATCATTTATTTAAAGCCCAATGATCAGGAACAGCTGGGTCCAGTTTCGAACCATCAATAAGCTACTGACTTTTCTCAGGATCGAACCGGCGACCTTTTGATTAGAAGGCGAGCACTATAACCACTCTGCTACCCACAAACTAATAGTGTGTACTTCATTCATTAGCCTATGTAAAGTAGTGATGCTCCATCCACTACCAGCAATTTCGAATCTTGAAACCGAAACTAAATAATTGAATCCCACATCTCGAAACCTCAACGCAAAACTTGTTTACTTGCCTCCAAGGTAACAAAAAAATACAGGTTGCTGGTAAGATGTTGATTATGCAATTAAAACTGAAAGAAATTGAACTCCTGACCCTGACACAATAACATGACTAGCCTAATACCAATACACTTTGAGACCTAAAAATAAATTTTTCATAAACAACAAACACAGACATAAATATGAGATTGATACATTATTGAAACGATAGCCTACTTAGTTTTTAATCGCTGACTGAATCTTGAAACCAAAACTTTTCTCAAGTATTTGTGTTTTTGAGATTTGGTTTGGACGCATCACTAATGTGAAGCCATTTCTAAAAGTTACACTTACACCAGAGTGAGGAACACATGTTCATGTTCTAGGAAACCAAGAAACACTAATTTTTTAACAGAAACATTTTGATTTTGCAAACAGTTTTTAAAGTTTACAATAGAAATTTTGTTTCACCAGAAGTCGGTAAATATCAAAGCGTGTTCCAAACATGAGGAAACACTTTTTTTAATACAATAAAACTTTATTTATACATTTCAAACCAGCGTCGAATTTTTCGTCTAGTTCCCCGTAGCCTTAGCGAAACTGCTCGAATGATGGAAAGCTGGCTTTGGATCCTCAACCATCCGATAAACACTTTTTTTAGAACAAATGTTCCTGTACTTCTACGCTGGTTACGGGGTAGGTAATAGGTAATAGGTAACACTTGCTCACTACCCCCCATGCCTACTCACCACCACGTGACTGAGTGATACTGAAATGAGTGTTACCAACAAAAAGTTCCAAATATTTTGTTCCAAACTCCACTGTAAACGCGGCTCTTGTTATTGATATTAATACCTACTATTATTACCCATTAAGATGGGGATACCACCTAGGTGTGTATTTATTTAACCCAAATATGATTGAAAGATGAGTGTAGAATGAAGTGAGATGCCTTGTATAGCTTTGTTACTGACTAAGACCAAATGTTTCATTAGCCACGACCACTTCTTAAAAGCCATTTAATCAAGGACAGCTGGGTCTGATTTGGAGTCATCAAAAAGCTATTAAATTTTCTCAGGATCGAACCGGCGACCTTTTGAAGTTACTGCCACTGTGCTACTGGGTTACTCATTTCGAGGTTACTGTTAAGGCCTTTTCACACCGGCGTACTGGGCGTACTGTACGCGGTCCTTTCACAGAAACTTCCAAAACGTACACTTGTTCGTTTGCAGTCAGACAAGTAACACTGGCTGAGCACGTGGTTTTGAAGTGTTCACTGCGCATACGCAAGCCCATGTACGCCGTACATTTTAGAAAAATCGCTCTCCGAGCGATTCACACAAAACCATCGCGTACGTACTGTACGTACAGTACGTTCTGTACGCGCAGTGTGAATGAGCTCATATGATAACATGGGCAGGGATTTGTTGAAAAAAAAACGTACCAAACGTACAGTACGTCCAGTACGCCGGTGTGAAAAGGCCTTTAGTGTTGGGTTAAGTCCCTCCCAACTCATCATTCACCATAATAGCTTAATTTTCCTGTTTCTTTCTTTAGTCTTGTATCAACATACACATTACATGGCTAAAACTTTGATTGATTGCATAGGAATTTAAACCCTAATTTTAAGTTGGGCTTATCAAAACAAAAAGTTTTTATATTTTAAGAAGCGGAAATCTGAAAAAATAAGGAGTGCACCATCAGAGAACCCATGAGCCGCAAGTTTACACGTACACTAACAACTAAGTTACATTTTATTTATAGCGTAGGTGATTAAAACCACTTACCTCTATATTTTCAGGTTCACATTTTTCAGTCAAGCTTTCGTCTTCCGAAGAACTACCATTAGTATTATCATCGTTCAGTGAAATTCCCAAAACGTCATGCTCTTCGGACACTTCATCACAATTGATATCTGGTTCTGAACATTGCTCTTCTTGGACTTCTGACGATACATTATTCTTATTTTTAGAAGGCACATCACATGTGTATTCTTCAATAGGAACATCTTTATTCTTCTCTTTACTAACCGATGCAACATCATTAGTCACATTGACCTCATCATTCGGAAGATGAGATTGGAGGTGATGTATTTTTAATGGAAGTTCTGTATAGGTGATTTTGCAAACCTCGATATCATCTGGCAATTCTTGTTTCACTTCAACCTAGTGAAAAAAGTAAAGCTAATAATAAATAATATTTAATAATTAGTGAAGAGCTACATTTCATTTGGATGATAGGCTTCCCATGGTCAGTAGGTAGTCAAATATAAGAACTCGGGTGATGATTGTGTCATTAAATAAGCTGAACCAGAGGCTAAGTTCAGCTTATTCAAAGATGCGGTCCTAACCTGAAGACCAAGAAGATTTGACTACCTATATTTCATGAAAACAAAAAACAAAGCTCCAACACCTTGTACAAGTGTGGGATAGTTGAAAGAAAGTAAATTTCAACCAACATTAAACTAAAAACGGCTGTTCTTAGTTGAGATTTATTTTATAATTCATGGATAAATGACGTTTGCTTTTTGACTAGGGATAATAGACTGAATAGGCTAAAATGTTAATCTACAAAGGAACAACTACCTTTTACAAAAGTTATGAACAATGTAAATGAAATACGTTAGAACTCATTAGTTATTCAGCTATTTTCTAAGAATACACTACTTATTTTGCTTGTATATGCCTTGATTTTTACCCATTGAAAGTTGTCAAAACTGTCTGGTCCGAGAGGATCGGACGAATGAGAGTCGATAAGGTCAGTTCTCGCTCCCAGCTCCATCTGTAACCAATCACAGTTTCACAGATCGATGGTTCACTTAGTTAGGCAGTAGAGAGGCCAATGCTTATTTTAAGAGAAATATTTTTCATATTGTTATTTTCATTATTAATCATATTTTCATTGTTATTTCATATATTATCATTATTAAGGACGTAGCCAGTGGAAGTGCTGAGGGTGCTCCAGCACCTCCAAAAATGTTCATAAAATAAAGTTTTCTAACAAAAACTAACTGAGGCTTTTTATCCTGTTCAATAAACCTGTGTTGATGCCATGCCGGTTGGTTTATCGAAGTAGTGAGCAACGTTAGTTGAGATGTTATGTCTTCCTACGCAAAATCACCAATTAAGTCATTGAAGGGTCAAAACTATCCTGACTTTATCTATGGTTGCTAAGCCGTTAACAACTAGATTGGTGTACCAGAGCTTTCAAGTAACCAATGTCAATTACGCAAGCAAATTGTACAAAACATCTCACACAATCGCGGCAATTTCTGTGATCGGCCTAATTACTTGGCAATTACTAATTACATCATCCGGTGCGGTAAAATACGTAATTTATGATAGTTTCCCACAATCTAAATTTTTGACAACACAACTCCACGTCCAAATTCAAAATTTTTTTCTGGTCATCAAAATTCACATACAACTCCCAGTTTTCTGGTTTCCAGATCGGTTTGGAACCCTGCAAAGACAATAGAGAAAAATTTTACCAGGTACTATAGAAAATTATACTTACAAAATGGGACAAGCCATTAGTTTTTGGCAACAGAGGTGGCTTCTTGCTCTTTTTGTGTTTAACACTACCGGTACCGGTATCTTTTCTTTCCGAGCTACTTTCAACTTGTCTGCAGCTATTGGTAATTCTTCTCTGCTTCTTATTTCCTAAAAAATGTATACTTATTTAATCACAATGCTATTAGGATTCTTACTATATAATATGCAGACTTGTGAAAAGAAACATGTTAACTTTAAACTTTTTAATGATGCTAATGTTCAAGACATCTTGTTTTGAGTGAGAAAAACAGCTTAAAAATCCACACTTAAGATTCCCCATTGAACTAGAATCCCAAATCTGGTAGAGTAAGTTTAGCTTACTTAGTTTCATTTATTAAACATCAATAAAAACTTAAACCATTCGTAAGTAAACTAAAATTCAATGTTTACCTAACTTACATTAAAAAAAGCATAAGGCCTAGGCTATTGTAGAAACGATATATGGAACCGAATCAAAATCGAGATCAGTTATTATAGTTACGTAGGCTAATCGGCTAATCAATAATATACTCCTATTGCATTTTCTATGCGGAACTGTAGGTTATCGAAATGGATTTACTTACATTAGGCTATAGGCTACTAATTATTCCGTATAGGTGCCTCCAAACGAACACCATTAGCTTTTACATAATGATTTTATCTTTTTTAGGCCTATAAATAACCAGAGGAAGCTAGACGAAATATCCCACAGTGGATGAGCGTAGGCTATGGTTAAAAATGTTTCGATAAAGATTGAACTAGGCCTAACTTACTGTAAGTGATGACATAGAAGAATAGTAAAAAACCCATAGATAGTCAACTACAATTTTATTTTTCTTACTACACAATTGAGATAGATACCATTGGAGATGGAATTTCTTAACACGTTGACTGCGCGCGCCGACTTTACAGGCGCTCCCCAGTGGTGGGAGAAGCCCCGGCGCGCAACCGAATCAGCGAACGCAATTGGCATTCAAATATTTCAGTCTGACGAATCACAAAAGAGCAGTGGTGACTGTGCTGCGTTACCCCGAGAGTGGATGTAGTTCACTGAAACACCCAAAGGTAGCAGCACTGCATGGATCCGTATCCAGTGTCTTTGTAATGTGGGTTGAAGAGAAAAAATCCCCGAAACCGGGACAAAAGCATTGCCAGACGGGATTTTACGGGAAATTTTAGTACCAACCTACACCAAAGTAAAGCTCGCATTCTAAACTGGCAGGCTGGCAACGATTATAACGTCTCCGTCTGAGGCTAAGCTCACACTGACTCAATATATTACTGTTGGTCTGGTGCCGACTGTAGTCGGCGCGCGCCACCTGGGAGCGCTGGCGACGCCGACTAAAGTCGGCACGCGCAGTCAACGTGTTAAAATAGAGAAACTTTCTGAGCTCAAAGCAGTAAGTTGCTTGGCTGCACTTTACTTGACGTCCTACACTCATTCGAATGAAAATATCGATCGATATATCGATTAATCGATTACTTCATTCGATATATCGTTTGGTTAGTTAGGTAAGGTTAACCTAACCTAACTAACCAAACGATATATAGAATGAAATAATCGAATGAAAATATCGAATCGAAAAACCAATCGAATGAGTGTAGGACGTCAAGTAGGTAAAGTGCAGCCAGTTGCTTACCTACTTAAAATTGCAAGTGAGAAAGACTCGGTTTATTAAAGCTTACTTACAATAACAACAAGATTAATCAACATTTTAGGTAACATTTCAAAACTATACAAATTAAGTTTAAGTTACCCGTGTTGGTTTTCTCATTTTCAACTTCAGACATTTCTTCAAGAACATCCATAACCACTGCTATTTGCTCAAGGTTAATTAAAGACTTCTCTCTTGCTTTTCGAGGAAAATGTTCTCGTTTTTCTTGGGTTCCATTTTTAAAATTTCTTTTAGACTTTGCCATAGTTGTATTGTATTCAGAAAACGATGTTACTTGATATGAACTAACTTAAACTTAAGTCAGAAAACCAAGAAAAGTAAACAAACAATGTCGCTATACAAAACAATGATGACAACCGTCGAATAGGGATGAGCGATAAATCACAGACTGTGATTTTGTCACCGATATTTTTAAGTCGCAGTCACAGTCTGTGACACGATATCAAAAGTAGCAGCTACCGGAGTCACAGTCTCTGTTCACCATTTGCAGTCGCAGTCGCAGTCGCAGCTTTTTAGTTCAAAATATCGACTGTAGAAGCGCGAGCAGCGCTGTGACTGAGCGAGTCACAGTCTCTGTTCCCCAGTCGCAGTCGCAGTCACAGGCTTTTAGTTCAAAATATCGACTGTAGGAGCGCTGTGACTGGGCTGTATCCGCCGTCCTTGTAAGTGCTGCTCTCTGTATCCTTCGGATTTTGAGCGAACTACTGTACTTTGAGCGGGCTTTGCACCCTATCGCTGTTCGCTTTGTTTTGTTTACATTAGTTTCAGTTTCTGCGTTATTGAGATGAACTCATGAGATTAATTATTATACAATGAGTCTTAAAAGAAAAACCGGTGAGGTGTGGAATTACTTTTTGGTATTAGATGATTTCACGGCCAAATGCGACATTTGTAAGACAAAACTGTCTTACAAAACATCAGTAACGAATCTAAAAAAACACATGTTAAGGAAACATCCTACAGTAAAGTTTTCAAGCTCAGTAGTATTATATTATAATATATTATATTATATTATATTATATTATAAGTATTATATTATATATTATTTTACCCACAATAAATTACTAGGAATTGAATCTGTTGCATCGTTACATATGCATATATATTAAAATTATTAGTAAAATATTAAAGGCGTCTGTAATAAAATACATAAGCAAATAAATAAAGAGGTCGCAGCCGGCAGTCAAAACAGGATGATTAAATGCGCATGATTGAGACATGTAGCAGTCACAGTCACAGCCCAAGTCGCAGTCACAACAGAGAGAGTTCAGGCGCAGTCACTCGGACATGTAGCAGTTAGCAGTAGCAGTCGCAGGTACTTGACAGAGTAGCGCGGCAGTGATATCGTCAACAGCGCGAGATCACAGTAGCAGTCATTCGGGGTTTGGAGCAGTCACAGTCACAGTCGCAGTCACAAGTAGCTGGGGGTTCGAGTGATGCACGCCAATGGCATCGTCACAGTTTCGTAGTTTTGAGTATCACCGCATGGAGCACCACCGTAGCATATATCGCTGTGACTAGTCACCGATATTTTTAACCGATATTTCTTTGTCACAGTCACAGTTCCGAGTGATATTTTAAAGTCACTGATATTCTCATCCCTACCGTCGAACCTTGGAGTAGAAAAACTCAAAACTTGTGGTTGGTGTTGGTACTACTGAAGTTCTCAAACCTGTTAAGTTTTAAAAGGGATTTTGGAACATGCTGATTAAATAAACGATATCATTGATTATATATACCCCGAAACAGCTGTTACAACACCACTTGCGACGTTGCCACTTCGAAGGCCGCGGCCTGGAGTTAAAGGCGGCCGTGCTTTAACCCAGGCCGCGGCCTTCGAAGTGGCAACGTCGCAAGTGGTGTTGTAACAGCTGTTTTGTTTGGATGTATTTACGAAAGATTGGTTACTGGACTATGACAATATTGACTCCGCTTAAAATGTACAGATATAGAATTTTAATTCGTATTGTTTCGTTTTTCAATTCTGTATGTTTTATTCTCAATATTTTAATAAATTTATGTTCATAAATTTAAATTTAAATCAATAAAGTGCGAATGAATGAGCTGATGTCACCTGTCTGCCATGTTATCTTATGGGACGTCTGTAACTGAACAACACCACTTGCGACGTTGCCAATTCTATCAGGCCGCGGCCTGTAGTTAAAGGCGGCCGTGGGAGATGTATAGTTAATGATGATACCAACAAGTATTATGACGTATGTATAAAAGTTCAATTGGTAATTAGACTGCTTTAGAGGGAATTTGTCAGTTAAGTTATACCTTATAACATAAAATAAAACACAAATGTACAGAAACCAAGTTTTGAGTTCCTTTAAAATTTTTTATGACGATTAGCTTTATATGAATAATGTCATAAGTCAAGTCATAAAAGAACCAATGAATATGCTAGACATCATTTTATTAAATGCATTTGACATTTTTAATTACTTGCAAGTGATTTGTATTTTTATCATCTATAGGTTCGCCTTGACAAGATCAATCACGTGAATGGAACACTCTGTTAGTCTCACAGAATGATGATATCATCAGACCGTCGATTTGTATTTCAGAGTAGGCGAAGCGGTTCTGGTGATTAACATAGTTGACATACTGTACAGCTTACAATATTTTACACAATATCCACGGATATTACAGTTGACAACCGATGTATATATTCAATATTTTATATACCGCACATCAATGGAGTCAGGGGCGGTCCTAGGCTTATATATTCTGTGGTCTTGATTAGTTATTCAGTAGTGTAGTTGAATGAGCATTTGCCTTTGACTCCATTGATGTATATAGAATATATACATCGATGGTCAACTGTAATATCTGTGCATATTGTGTAAGATATTTTATAAGAGCTGTACAGTATGTCTTTTAATCACCAGAGAATCGCTTCGTTTACTCTCAAATATATGGAATGGAGATGACAGAACTGTAGGAGTCCTAATATATTTTGATAATATTGATTACACGATATAAATATACACATATATATATATATATATATATATATATATATATATATATATATATATATACCGTCAACTATAAAAGTAATTAGCGTTTCTCTTATCCCAGCTGTAAGAAAATCTGGACCCACTCACTGCCAGTGGTACCAACATGAACGCAGAAATCTCAGATGTTTATTGTTATTGTTTGTTTCTAATTTTTAATTCTGATAAGTTTGGTTTTAAGAGGTTATGTTTGTGAATTCCATTCAAATGTAATATCATCGTAACATATTAACATATTGCATTTTAAACTATAAGCAAGTTATTAGTTTATAATGTCGGTAACTCTAGATATTCGAGTTAAAAAGGCCAACAAAGTTTATCATGAAGGAGTAAGTTTATTGTTTGGTAAATACAATGTATCAGTCTATGGCTTGTTTGATCAAAGGGGCTTATTTGCCCAAACAAATTAACCTAGTAATAAAGTATGTTTATTTTCATAGAGCAATGTAATGTTTTGTGTTATTTTAGGATTACAAAATTACGCATATTTCAAATTGAAGGGAACAGCGTAATTTGAAGAAAATCAATAAGTTGTCGCACTTTTTGTCATAACCCTAGTGAGTGAGGTTTCATTAACATGCATTTATTAGCCTACTTAATCAATATGCCTTAGAAATTACTAACCAACCTCGCTTCCTCTTTCAAAAGACACACTCAGTTCCAGTTGTAAGCCTGAACTAATGATAATGGGAGCACTGTTCCTCTCTCAAATCAAGCCAGCCCAAACTCACATCTAATTGCACCAATTAATTATAAGACCTTATTATACTACAGCTTATTATTAATCCAGCTACCGTACAATTTAATGAATTTTACTTTTACAGGAAACTATCAGCGGTGTGGTCATTTTCAACTCTCCTTCTGATCTAAAGCATGATGGAATCACTTTAAATTTAGAAGGGACGGTTAATTTACAGTTAAGTCCCAAAAACGTTGGTGTTTTTGAAGCTTTCTACAATTCAGTAAAGGTAAGTTTTGTGTGTTGAAAAGGTTGTGTGTATCTTCACATTATTTGGCTTAGCAATATTCTTGATAGAGTTGGCCTTGGATTATGTGGGGCTCAGTGTGCAAACATTCGGGCACCTTACTACAAACAAGTAGTATCTCAACAATACTAAGTTAACTAATCAAAATCTCAATGTATATTAGTACTGATAACCCCCATTTTTCTGTTTAGCAAATTTCACATAGCCTAACTTTATTTGGCTTAGCAATATTCTTGATAGAGTTGGCCTTGGATTATGTGGGGCTCAGTGTGCAAACATTCGGGCACCTTACTACAAACAAGTAGTATCTCAACAATACTAAGTTAACTAATCAAAATCTCAATGTATATTAGTACTGATAACCCCCATTTTTCTGTTTAGCAAATTTCACATAGCCTAACTTAATAGGGAATAAGCTATTACCGTACGGTAGGTCTCATGGTAAGACCTGGACCCGGGACCGATTTACTTTTTCATTTTTGATGTCCCCAGAGGTCAAAAACACCATACAACTTGCTATAGTAACGAATATTTTTCAATCTGTGTTTTGAACGGTTTATGTTGTTGCTTATTTATCATCAATGCTCATTCAAGTTTGCAATATAGGTATATATTAGTAACATTTTATTCCATAAGATTAATGAAAGTTGAAATACATGGTTTCAAAAGTTCTACAGTACTATGATATCCAACTAGGCCTATTTTGTATCTGATGATTTTCCAGCCGATTCAGTTGGTACAATGCTCAATAGAGGTAGCAGCGCCAGGGAAAATGCCATCAGGCAAGACAGAAGTTCCGTTTGAAGCTCCACTTTATCCCAGACCCAACAAAACTCTGTTTGAGACTTATCATGGGGTTTTCATCAACATTCAGTATCTTCTGCGATGCACGTTGAAGCGAAGTTTTCTGGCAAAAGATCTGACCAAAGTTGCTGAGTTCATTGTCGAGTATAAGGTGAGATGTTTTAAACCTAGCTAATACAGTAGATCTATTAGGTTTGGTTAGGTATCCTCCCAAAAGTCATTAAAAGTTGTAACTGCGTGAGGAAAGGAGTTTTCAACGGGATGTAAATAACTATACTTACTTACTTACTGCCAAGGCTCTTGGTACCCAAGGTGGTACTTTGGTTGTAAATAACTATAGGCTACATGTTTTAACTACTGATTCTAGCTATAATTTGATTAAATCCTCAAATTTGTTTATTTTTTATTTTTTGTGAATTTATTTTTACTTTAAA